GCATTTCCGTTGGCAACGTGTAAATTAATTGGAAAACTCGACGCAGCTGATGGAATTGAAAGGTTGGATGATTGCGGTTTCCAGTCGATGGGAATGTCAAATATTACCGAAACTGCCAACAGAGTCTATTGGACGGTGGCCTCCGACTTAATGCTGGGAAGCGAAGCGTTTAATTTTAGATGAACCACACGCACAGTCATTGGCTACATTTTTATGCGCTGGGAGAGTAAATAGGTATCTACTAGCCCGAGAATCACATACTATTGTACGCATGAATGGACTCTTGGAAAATTCATTCATTTAAATAAAACGTATATTTGATGAAATAACGGATTCAATGGACGTTAATATAGCTTTTTTATTTTGAATTTAATTCTGAAATTTTTTTTTTATTTATATAAAATGTTAATTATTTTTAAGATTGTTTTCTTTCTTCCAAGCAGATTAAATTTTTCATAAATATCATGCCAGATTTATACAGATTATGATCTTTAATTTATTTAAATCGAAATAAAGGAATATTTTTTGAATAATCCTAGTTTTGTATAGTGTACAGTGGTTGATCGATCTTTAAACATAGAGAAACATGCATTTTCGGAGTAAATGGTTATTTATTCTAGAACTTTCTTGTAAGTATTGTAGATTAAGAATAAGCTCACACGTATAAATAAATCCACATCGGAACAGGTTAAGAAATCCCACAAGTATAGAACACAACAATTCAAATCCGCAGTCATAAAATAGCACAAAGTAAAGGAGTCCCCGGCCAACTCGAAAAACTTTGACAGTGAATCCACTCTAACAGCTACAAGAGTTTTTCTCACGAAAATAATCTTCATGGACTCATCTTAATTCTCCAAATTTAACGCAATTCGATAGTCAAATGTGTCACCGTGTCTTCTTTCAAACTAATCGAAAATGTAACCGAGCTGTGCCACAGGATTGCTGGAAACAATAAATTTAGGTCTATACTCACAACTCAACAAGCGATTACTTTTTCAAAAAATGTAGAGCCTGCATTCGTGTAGAACAGGAGTGTCAAACTCTCGGGCCGAATGCGGCCCAATCAGTAGACCGGCACAAAATAATTTATAATAAAATATCAGAATTTTTCACGAAATAGGAAAGATGTCAAGAGTGTCAGGACGTAAACATTAAAATTTTTCTTGTTCTTTTATTTATGTGTAATATAATATATTATTTGAAATAAACTAACGTTTTTATGAATATTGATTTTTTTGCGGTGCCCCTAAAATTAAACTTTGTTTGTTTGGTTTAAGTTAGCCTTTGAGAGTTTGATACCCTTGTGTAGAAGGCCACACATTTGAATGTTTAATTCATTGAAGTATTACAATTTTTTTCCTCTATATTTTTAATCTATCGCTTAATTAAAAAGAGTTACACACGAAAGAATGAGTGTTTTTAAAATTAAGTCATTTTGTAAAAAAAAAAAAATATGCCAATAATCGAATAGAAAAGTAGCGAGTGTTGTATTATTTTTGAATATTAACTCAATGGGTCATCTCTTTTCAACTAACTTACCTGAGTTTTTTATGAATTATTTTTCTTTTTATGGCAAGTCAAAGCTAGGCGACATCCTCTTATCAAACCCTGACTTAAGCAAGCAATGCTAATTTTAACTGCAAAACTTTTGGGAATAATTGTGACAACGATTGCACATCTGTGTAAGATCTCTTTAGTGAAAAATCTGTGTAAAATTGGGAAAATTTGTGGCCTGACTGACGTAATGGGGCGGGTATTTCAAATTTCCACGCTTTCAAAAATATTCTAGTCCTCCCTTAACCAAGTGATAGGGAATTTCTTTTCAATTTTCCCCCCAGAACGAAGATATAACCCCCTCTTTCTCCCCGTTCTCACTTAACGTTGAGTATCGGGATACCATATGTAAATAAATGTGTCCTGTGTACACACATTTATATATTGTTTAATCAGCCATTCGGTTACCTAAATTTATATCCTCTAAGTTATTTTTTTCTCCGCGGGAATAATATTTCAAACTTAAATATTTGACTGATCTCGAAATATTTTTAAGAACAATAGGTACAATAATAAGCTAACACATTTTTAAATTACTATTTTTAATAAATGACACAATATCAAAACTGTATAAATGTCTTTCTCTCAAAGCTTACATCGATTGTGAAAAAAAAAAGAAGTCTTAGCATATCTAATCCTACCTGAATGAGAATAATATTTCATGAGCTTTTGTTTACATTAAAACAATTGCTATCAAAGTTCAAATAAATTTTTTGCTCCGAGATAGCGAATTGATGTAAAAAGTATCAGCTCATTCCCAAACTAATTCTCTTCGGAAGTCATTGTCGTTTCGGCTGACCAGTTGATAGAACAAAATATTCTTAAGATTTTAAAATGATATGCGTTTTAAGTAACAAATGCAGCGGAATTTAAGAATTACAGTATCTAGTTAATTGTTCATTTCTTTATTTCACTGTTGTTTAGTTTCTACGGTTTAATTCATTTTATTTAAATTTGATTTTACCCTCGAGTGGAAAATAATATTAATTCACACCAAAAATTTAAAGACGAAAAAGAAAATATTTCGAAAATGAAAATTCATTTCAGAATTATAAGCGAAATAATCCTTCTGCTCCGATTTAGATTTAAAATACTTTATTTTCCAGTTGCTTACATTTCCATGTCGTAACCTCTGTTGAAATGAAGTTGAAATATATATTTTCAAAAAATAAAAATAATAACTAATTGTTTTAAAGAGAATTAAAATTTATCAAGGGAAATATTATGGAAACGTTTTTGTTGTAAATCCCTAGCTAAATATATTATTTTTACAACTTTAGCGCTTCATTATATTTCACCGATATGTTAGTTTTTGTAATGATCAATTGTCGAAAACGTATTAAATTTTCTTTGTAAACATTTTGAAAAATATACCTGAAACTAAGTTTTTCCATTAAGAATAAATAATTCCTTCCACTAACGAACAATTATTTAAATATCAATTCTTTTTCATTCTTTCCATTTATGATCAAACCTAAAGTTCTAAACTATTCTTAAAACCAAAGGAAAACAAACAAGACATTTCACTGTCAGAAAAACTCACATGCAGCTGCAAAGACTACGCATTCTCGAACCAAATCCTGCAAACAATTCACTAATACAATTTCGATTCTTTGAAAAAAAAGTTGCGTGTCTGTTCTTACAGCAGCCTCACTTTTAGTCAGGAATGAATCTTGGTAGTATCATTATGATTAGACTTCAGATCTAAAATCATTATTTTCCTGTCAGATAAATTTTTCAGGATTTGAGTATAATTTAACAGTGTCTCGCGGATAAAACAAACACTGAGATTTTAGAAGTGGTTATGGCAACAGCTGATTCTGACAGTCCGCCATTTGGTTGCCTATCATTTTGTAATTATTAGATAAGGTATCGAAAGAAATATTTTTCATTTCCGAAAGATCGAATAAAAGAAGGAAAGTTTTCTATTTATTTCCTTATATATTTCAATGACAGTTAGTGAATTATGTTATTAAAATTTTCCAAATAAGCAAATTTAATTTAATGATCAATTGAATATGAAGGAAAATGCAGCTAGGAACAAAAGTTTACATTTCATTCACTACACTTGAAAGTAAAATTTAGACCAAAAGTACAGATTACGGTAGCCTATGGTAAAGGTCATAACCTCTCACCCGGAAAGTCATGGGTTCGAACCTAGGGCCTCTGAACGCCCGCCGTGTAGAGGAGCTGATGCAAGTGAAATCTGATGTGGATCAAACGTCCTCCCGCGACGAGGTGTGGTAGTTTGGAGAGACGGTGCAAAACCAGATGATATCCTCGTTACTTGTCCGTCCTTTAACACTACGATTTTCTTGTTTTTATATAGAAAAAAAGATATCTCCAATAAAATTAAATGATTTCTTTTTTCCCTTTTCTCTTTCTCTTTATTTATTTATTTTACACTGCTGCTTTCATTCCTTTATGTTTTTTTTAAAATGGGGGATGGCGTCTTAAATGAATAATCCTCATTGTGATGGCGTCAACTGAAAACGTGAGAATCGAAAAAAACATTTATTATTTTTGTATGTTCCCCTACTCTCTTTAGGTTTGTACTGTGCATTTGTAATGGATAGTTTTATTTATTGTAAGAATGCTGGAATCTAATGTATATTCTTTCTTCCTTCTCTTACACCTTTCCTTTTATTATTATTACTTTTGCTTTGTATATTTGTTTTATGTATGCTTATACGTATGTATATAGTGCAGTTACCTAAATATTTGTATTACGTTATTTTACTGTCTTTTGCTGTTTGAAATGTAAACTTCGCTTTTTTCGCCCAGTAAAGACTGGACGTGGGGGTGGTTGTTTCCGAGGGATTGGTTTGTAGTTCTAAACCTTCGTAGGGATTTAGCTCCGTTCCTTTGGGCATTCTGCAAATAGCTTTATAATGCGTTGTTATTAAACACTCACTGCACCAAAAGTAATATTAAATAACTAATCCAATGCTTTAGTAGATAAGTAATGAAAAAAATATGCTTTAAAATGCTTTATTCTATTGAAATTTCTTTTTTTACCATTAAAGATTTTAATTCAGATTCTAATGCGATGATTTCATTATTTTATCAACAAAAATGAGTTATAATATTTGGAAAGCATTATATATAAAATTAAAAATTTCAAAAAAAAAATTGAACTATGTACAGAACAAAAAAATGTTAAAACAATTATGAATATTTTTAGAGATTGCTTCTAATAAGCGCATGTTAAAATGCAACATGTAAACTAGTACCATTTCACACTAATTTATGTTTTAAAAGCCGACCGCAGTTGGTCAGGCGCTGCCTTTACGCTCCAAAATTTGAGGATTGAGCTCCATCTCTTATCTGTTTCGATGTATCATATGTAGTTAATCTAGCGTTCCTCAAACTGTGAAGCGCGGCCCCTGAGAAAAAAATTTATCCGCAACGCAAACTTTTTCTGCCCATCTGTGATGTATCCTCGGTAGTATAGTGGTGAGTATCCCCGCCTGTCACGCGGGAAACCGGGGTTCGATTCAGTGGCGTAACGTACACCCCCGCATCGCGGGGGGGGCCACAGCCTGACTATCGCCCTTTGTAAAATCCAACTTGGGGGCCCAAAACCTGACTTTGCTGGGGAGCCCAAGTGTTCTACGTTACGCCACTGGTTCGATTCCCCGCCGGGAAGGTTCACATTTTATTTCGTACTGCGATAAAAAAAAGTATAATTTATATTTCATACCAGATAGAGTACATGAAAAGTTCCGGGTCCATAAGTTAAATTATACTAACACCTTAATAAATAATTATAATAAAATCTTCACAAACAAGTATTTTTTTAGATGAAATGAAAAATCCTTTCTAGGTCAATGACAAGCGTTAAAATAAAGCAAAGCGAATAAGAGTGTTTTTTGATGTCGAGTGCTTTTTCAGTGACGCAGTTTCTGCGGGGCATTAAAAAAAGATATGTGTCAACTTATTTTGTAGGAAATCAAAGGTCCTCCGAAATTGTTTTCAATTTAAATAAATTGAATACTAGTTCATTTTTTTTCAAAGGTAAATGTAATAACTCGCAGCAATACTTTCAAGCTATGATTTTAAATGTTAAGGTACAGTTGCCGTACACCTCCTTATCTACGAAGAAGTGTGAAGTTTTGAAGTTATTTATTCGAGGTATTATCAAAGGCTTATTTGAAAGGACTACAACCCTTTAAGTGTGCTCACACTTCTTTTTTTTATATATGACTTCCTTAATAATATAGTCTTTTTATCTATGTAGAAGTTTCATTTTTTTTTCTGCTGGTCTCATTTTTTATTATTAAAGCTCTTATGAGGTCGGAATTTACGGGTGCGCGTTCTGCACCGGATCTTCAGGAACATTTCAAAGTCTCATTTAATATGAAGATGAAACTAAAATAAAAAACGCATTTTAATTTTTAAGAAAGATATTTTCCATCGATGAACTCACATATTTGTTTTGAATGCATATTTGAATGCATTTCATTTTTTAAAATATAATCATTTATATAGCGTCATTTGTAGTTAAATGAGTCTTTTCGCCTTCGAGGCCTATTAGCTCAGTTGGTTAGAGCGTCGTGCTAATAACGCGAAGGTCGTGGGTTCGATCCCCAATGGGCCTATTTTAAAACAATTCATGGAAATTTGTGGTTTCCTACGTTTGGAAATAATGTTTATCTTTTATACTAATTTCGAATATATATATATATATATATATATATATATGATAATAATAACGAATCTGAGAGATATTTAAATCTTAGAAATTAGACGCATTAAAAATCTGTTTTATACTGACCTCGATACCTAATATTAATCATTACTTAAAATATATTGCAAAATGCTTTTATTCTGAAATAAGAAAATTTAATTTTTATAAAGCTATATATATATATAATTTTACACAATTTAGATTGCTTTTATTTATTTTACAACATAATAAACTAAAGCATTTATATCAAGGTGTTCCAGTAACGTGGTCCATTAGCTCAGTTGGTTAGAGCGTCGTGCTAATAACGTGAAGGGGTCGTGGGTGCGATCCCCCTGTGGGCCATTCTTTCTATTGATTTTATAATGTTTTATATTTCCATGAAATGTTTGATATAAAAATTAACTCATTGAAACAGAATACCAGAGGTCGACTAATTATTTAACTATTATTCTCTTTCATTAAATTGAATAAAATAACTTTGAAATGTGATTATGGTAGGATTTTTTTCAAGGAGAAAAGTAAGAGAAAAGCGAGAAAATGCAAAAAACCTGGAAAGAAGGAACTACGTGCGTTACTTCAGTCAAATATTATTTATATTACTAGCTGCATGGGCCGGCGTTGCACGGACTATCTCTACTTTTAAAAATTTTCCTTTCTTTCACAAAATTAGAACTTCTAATACTCATTTTCAAAATGACTTCCCACCCCCCTCTACCGCTTAGCCCGGCGTTGCTCGGGCTTTCTCTTTTCCTCGTGACACCAGCATTTCTGTGAGTGTGTTTGTACGCGCACAATGTAAGTGATTTCTAAAATTATGTCAAAAAATTTCCCTTTTTCGAAATAGCTGCATGGCCCGGCGTTGCACGGGCTATCTCTACTGTTATAAATTTTCCCTTTCTTTCACAAAATTAGAACTTCTAATACTCATTTTTAAAATGACTTCCCACCCCCTCTACCGCTTAGCCCGGCGTTGCTCGGGCTTTCTCTTTTCCTCGTGACACCAGCATTTCTGTGAGTGTGTTTGTACGCGCACAATGTGAGTGATTTCTAAAATTATGTCAAAAAATTTCCCTTTTTCGAAATTTGCTCCTTTCCACTTATTTTTGATTTAAGACAGGTTTCTTTCCCCTCTCTGTAGCCCAAACACGGTTTTTTAGTGTAAAATTATTGTTCTATCTTCCCCTCTTTCTCACAGATAAGATATAGCTTCAAATTTCGATGTATGGCTTATAAAAAGAATATTGCGTTAGAATTAAAAAATTATTAATGTGAAGCAATAATAAAAAGAAAACGATTCTGATGCTAAGAGTAAAGATTTAAAAAGAAGCGTAATGCGAAATTGAAAGTTTCTGCCTCCTCAGTTTTGAACCTGGGAACTGCCGTTTCATAAAGCGCAGCCGATTTAACAATCGCGCCGTCGGTTATTTCGGGGAAAAGCATTGAATTGAGCTTTAAAATAAAGGTAAATTTTTTCCAATATCCCATTTCGGATTTTTTTTCGGGCTTCATTTTTATGTTAATGCTTTCAAACTTCATATAAATAATAGACGATGTACTTTTTAATTAACAAAGAATTCCTTTAGTAATGAAATAATAGAAATTATCCTTTTTAAAAACATATATATATTTATTAAAATCAAATTTCTATAAGTAATTAATAAAAGAAAATTTACAGATAACTATTCAAACGATTGCTTTTGTAATTAAAAAGTATGAAACAAAAATAAAGAATGTAATTATAATTAATTAATTATTACTGACATTTTAGGCAATTTTTTTCGTTTAATTTTGCAGCCACCAGAAACCCAAAAGTACATTTTTTTTTAAAAAAAAAAGAATAGTTTATGAATGGAACAGAAATTTTAAAAATTACAAAATTATTAGATCGTGTTTTAAAAACCTCTGAAACAAAAAAAAAAGTTCCGAAAATATTTCAAAAAATTTTTAAAGAATTAAATTGAAAGAAGATATTGTTTTTTTAACCGTAATTTTTAAGATATTTTATCAATCTTTGTACAGATTACGTATAATATTGTTCTAGTAAAAAAGAAAAGCATAAACTTTTTTTTAGTGTAAAATATTTTTTCAAGCGGAACAACTTATAATTCGTATTCAAAAAAAGGAACCGATTTCAACTCATTTTTTATTTAAAAAAAAATTGTAAAATAGTTAAATTGAAAGAAAGATTAATGTATAATTTTATTATATTAATTTTAAAATAAATTTATTTATATGCGAAGTTTCGTTGTTTTGTAAAAGCAGAATTTTTTTCCGATATTCTCTGCAGATGACCCACGATGCATTTAAATGCGCTTTAAGGTTTTTAATTAATATATTTTTAACTAATTGGAATATCGGAATATAAATGGTCAAAACGGATTCCTAGGATCATTCTTAAAATTTTGATACCATCTGCTAGTTTTTGCGTCTTGTGGTTATTGAGAAAATTGGGATATATTCCTACATAGATACGTTTGTTTACCTACGAATTTTAGTATATAAGATTACGCGATTTTTTTGTATCTCTTTCACAGAATAACATATTCAATAGTTTCTAACCAATAGAGAAAGACTACAGATATATTTTTGCTGTGTGTGTGGGAAATAAATAAATTTACAAATAATAAAATTTTAAGGTGACATTTCGATCCGTGATTTTAAAAAAGCGTATAAGCCAAAGGTGGACATTAAGTCGATCGCGATCAATCCGTAGATCCCCAAGACATTTTGTTGGGAATGCTTTTACTCAAAACTAAGACGCGCATAATGTAAGAAAAATATTTGTGGAACACCGATGCCAAACAGACTGGAGACTGGGCAGGCTCACAACACCTTGAAAACGTTAGAAGTAGCCCGTACCCTGGAAAAGTCTGCCAACCCCTGGTATAAACGGATAATTCTTTGAGATTTAGTGTCAGTTCAATTAGAATATTCAAATAAAATTGTTTGAAAAATATTATTATAATAAAAAATCATTTAAATTAATTTTGGGGGGCAAAAAATGAAGAAGGAATGGTATATTTTCAAAACACATTAATTTTAAGAAAAACGCTTCCGTAATAAAAATATTTTGCCTATGTATAACTATGTTATACATAAAGTTATAAAATATGTCCTTTAGAAGTGAAGTTTTTCATATTTTATTACATCAGAGCAGAGCAATATAAAAACAAAACAGACCGTTATTATTTTAACGGATCATAACTCTGGAAGTAACGAGAATTTTAAAAATAAGCTTAGTTCAACTCCGATATAGATCTCCTAGCTATAGATAGGAAAAAATATTATTAGTGCAGAATCATATCTATACACTGCTGGCCACCATAAAAGCAACACCCTGAAGGAAGAATGCAAATACATGAAATTTTCAACATGCATTAGCGGAGGTGAGACATGCAAATGATTAGAATTTCAGCGCAGACACACATCACGTGCACCTTTGGTGCCACCTCAAAGCGTTATTTAAGCCTTGGAGATAAGAAGATTTTAAATTCTGCAATTGTGTGTGTTTCTTGTGGTTTTTTCAAAAAACGATCAGTTATGTCTCGTAGAAAACAGCGATGAGCTTTTGATCAAGTATCCGAGTTCGACAAAGGAAGGATACTGGCCTGCCGAGATTGTGATTTATCTTTCAGGGAAATCGGTAGTCGTGTTGATCGAAACGAAACAACTGTAATGCAGATATGTGGCCGTTGGATGCAGGAGGGTACGATGGACCGACGTGGTTGATCGCATCCACCTCAAAGCACCACTTCACGTGAGGAGAGGCAAATTGTGAGCATGGCAGTGATAGATTGCTCAGTCACATCACGAACCGTAGCACAGCACATTGAGTCTGTAACGCATCATTCAGTGTCTGCGCGTACCCTTCGACGCCTTTTACAGCAGAGTGGTTTTCCGCAAGACGTCCATTGCTTGGTCTTCACTTGACGTATAACCACAGACGTCTCCGCCACCAATGGTGCGATGAAAGAAGTATATGGGCTGCAGAATGGAATGAAGTTGTCTTTACTGACGGTTCACACATCTGTCTGCAACACCACAATTGTCGGATTGGAGTCTGGAGACACCGTGGAGAGAGGATGCTGAACACCTGCGTTGTGCACCGCCACACTGATACTGCACCGGGTATTATGGTATCGAGCGGTATTGGATATCACTCTCGCACTCCTCTAGTACGCATTGATGGTACTTTAAACAGCCAGCGCTACATCTCCGAGGTGTTGGAGCCAGTTGTCCTTCCTTACCTTCAGGGTTTGACCACAGCCATATTTCAACTGGACCACACGAGACACGCATTGTCCAAAGGTCATTCGTGAATCACCAGATTGAATTGTTTTTCTGTCTGGCTAGCTCTCCGGATCTTTCGCCGATAAAAAAACATGTGGTCCATGGTTGCTCAACGGTTGATCCAGATTGCACCTCCAGCTGCCACACCAGATCAATTTTGGCAACTTGTAGAAGCTTCTTGGTCTTCTGTACCCCAATAACACATCCAAAGTCTCTTTGAATCAATGCCGAGGCGTGTGACAGCGGTCATTTCCAACAATGGCGGCTACTCTGGCTAATGATTGTGGCAGGAACCACACTTTACAGAAGTCTATAAATTTAACCATTTGATACTTGGTCAATATGTTATCTACAAAATAAATTTTGCTGTGCTATCTCTTGTCTTTCTTGGTGTTGCATTTACGGTGGCCAGCAGTGTAGATATGATTTTCAAGACTGTCATGCCCTACATATTATTAAGGATATTATTAATTTTCTCATGCATAAATTCAACATTGAAGATATAGATTTAGTAAATAGTTCTACTGAGTATTGTACAATACTATTAATGAATAAATCTTATGATAAAATTAATTTTTCAAAAATATTTAATAAGTCTGTACATTTTCTACCTATAAATAA